TTTTATATTTGTAATACAAAATATATGTATTTTATTCAACCCTGTAAATAACATAAATCTTTAATCGATTAATGTGAAAAATAAAAACGAAAATAATTTTGCGTGATTACGCTAAAAATTTTTTATTATCAATCCCTCATTCAAATTTATGGTTAGTAGACAATTAAAAAGATACATTTAAGTTGAAAAGCGAGAGTAGAAAAATAATCTAATTTAATAATTATGCATATTTATTTATATACGAAGAATGCACCATCCCAGGACGTAATCGAGATTAGCTCTTTATGAATGGACTCGATATACACTTGCCTTACAAGGCATACAAGTGTCGCAGGTTTGGGCCTTTTCACAACCTCTTCTTTTCGACCGCTAGCTCTTAACGAACTCTGAAAGGATGCAATTACTGAACCAGACGCATGAAAAATAGTCGCACGTTTTGCATTCGGCTTGAAAGGAAAGACAGTGCGGCAAAATAACGACCAGCGGCCTAAATTGTTTCTAACAATAAACAAAACGATCTGCATTGTGTATATTATATGTGTGTTTGCTGTCCGTAAAAATATATTAATCATTTAATCTGTCTCTGTGAAGGAAGAGAGAAGAAAAACTCTCGACAAGATTTTTTTATTATGGATCGCACCGGTCAGTCATATAAAATATATTATATAAAATAGATTATCACACGTTTATTTTTACTTGCAAATAAACGTTGAATGGTTTACGCGGCTGCTTTTGCGATTTTTCTTCTGTGAAAATGCGGCACGTTATACTACGCGCGCCAATACGTCCAGCCAGAACAGCCTAATCGGAGCGTTTAATTTTATTCGAACAAATTCACAACATAAACAGTGTCGTGTCATGATTAAATTTCAATTACCACTTTATCGCTTTTAATAACACAGTTGTTCAAATTTCGCAAATAGAAAAAATTCATTATAATTTAAAACTAATAAATTCATTATAATTTATTTATCAAGATTATATAAGATGTCATAGATGATATAATTCTTGTAATAATGTCTAAGAAATATGTTTATTATTATGCACTCTATAAAACTTGTGTATTTTTTATTTCCTCCTTTTTTAATATATATATGTAAATTATAAATTACGATAAAATTAATCAATGAAAACCGATGAGAACATGCCGAAAAAAATTAATGTCTATTGCAATAAGGTGCAATATTCAATATTTTAAGGCTTCTGAGTACTCACCACAAAGCCATATTAAATCTTGATGTCAGATCGAAGCGAGAAATAACACGCCAATTTTAAGATAGGATAGCTTTTCTTTGTAATTATTTTAAAGCGATCTAATCATTTCGTTCTTTCTAAATTGTCTTTATTTACAATGGCACTCGTAACAAAGATTAACGTGTCATTTTTTAATTGCTTCTGACATCATGACAATTCAATGTGGCAATGATAAAAGTTTGTTTCTGAAAGGAAAATCTACTTATCAAAGCACTTGACACTTTGCCGATTTTGACAAGAAAAAATGTCATCAATTTATATATAATATGAATGATAAACATTTCTGGTGTAGATGTTGTTTCCCACTATTTTAACATACTAAAGAATTCCTAATAATATACGTATATTTATCTTTATTCTACACAATCTGTGACTAGAAATTATATAAAAATAATATTTAATAAATTATAGCACTCTCTGTTGTGTAATTAATTTCAACTCGATTTTCTGGATAAATATTTCAAATTTGAATTAACAAATTCGTAGATTCGAGTTTTCGGAAATCAAGATTTAAACTATATTTTGGACAATATCCATAGGTGGACTTGAATCATGACATTGAATATTTCATAATACGTGCATAATTAACTTTTTTTTAATATGACGCTTAATGAATTTATATTAATCTTTAATATTAACAATTCTTTTTTTGATATTGAAAATTGCAGAAAAATTGATGCAAATCAATTTATTTCTTTAAAATTCAAAATTAGAATTACGTTTTTTTTTCAAGGTGAATGACTCACTCGTTGAGAAAACAGCAAACATTTACATAACTGCTCAAACTAAGAGATATATTAAAAGAGAAACATTTTGATACATTAAACATATTAAAACATTAAAATATGTATATATATTGTTTTATAATACATTTATACATTTAAAGTTTATAATCTCCTTTTAACTACTCGAAAAGATAACAATCCAACAAATAAATTAATCTTATGGAATAATAAGCAAGTGTAATTCGATCGCATGACAAAAGTCATATAATAACGAATTAAAACATGCGTTTCTGAAATATAAATTACCTAAACGAAATATAAAAAATTCTACCTTCTGATATCGTGGTCATAACTTGGCGTTTTTGTGGCTTTACACAATTTCCTCGTGACTATGACAAAATGCGTCATAAAAGAATGAAGAAAAATAAGTGTATTTTAAAATATCATTCAGTTTATATATCGTGTGTATTGTATATATATATATATATATATTGTTCATATACAATAAAAATTAAATGTAATATACAGAGGAAATTTGAGGACAATCTTATTGCAATATGTAAAATATTAATGTGATAACTTATCCATGTAATGGCAATGTTTTGTTTGATATCTAATTCCATTGCACATATGTCACAGATAATTTTTTAACAAACGTTTATTATTAGTCAAATTTTAAACGTTTGTACGTAAACTTTACGGAAAAAAATAGTTTGCGTTTTTACTACTAAATTTTTCACAGAGTCACGCTGCGATAAAATTACCCTCGAATTTCCGGACACCTAGTATATAAACTAGGAATCGAGCATCAAATTTAAAGATATTACGATAGTTACAAAATCGACTGATTATGTTTCTGTGAAAAATAAACTTAAAAAGATAGTCAAAATCGATAAAATATCATTTGTTTAGAATTTTTTTTAATTATTTAATTCAAATCAATTTTGTTATGAAATAATGTATTATACATATGAAAAAGAAATTTACAATTTTTCAAAATTATCCATTGCTTTTGTTAGCTTTTCCGACACTTTAAGTAATAACATTCTTCGTTTCGTGTATAGTAATATTTTTATATTTCTCCCAAGAAAGTTGTATGTCTTTATGTTAAACGTTATTTTTATACGTATTATTTGTGCATAAAAAAATAGGTAGACATCTTCCATTTTGCACAATATTTACATTTATCCCATTATATTACATTACAACGAGATCAATATAGATGACACAGTTTCGCGATAGACCTTATTTTAACGGGAGTGACAAAATGTTAAAGTATACCGCAGTTTCGCGATCAGAGATGAATCATGAAGGCGCCGTATTGTCTGTTTGTATCGCGCGTGGAACTGTGTCACTGGCGTCACCGCGATACCAAGAGATGATATCGATCGAAAGCTATACCGGATTTAATACAGCATGTTTACAATAAGAGACACATTCGCGTGAAATGTACTACATTTCTGCGAAACATCGCGTACTGCGTTAACATCCATCATGTTGCTATTATGATGAAGACTGATAAGTACTGACTGATTGGAAAAGTGGAGTGTTTTCACTCGCGAAACGAAATCACGATTTACTTAATTTATTTTATTACGTTAAATCGCGCTGGCTTCACTGTTAGTTATTAATTCATCTACTAACATTTGGAACGACTTATCTTTTGTTTCCTTTGACACGCGGTTATCTATATACGCTTGTATTGTTCCTTATTTATTAATGTTATCCATATGTACGATCCTATGATGGAGATACACAAATTGCCGCGAGAAAATCATGTATCGCTAATGTCAAATCTCGCACAAATCAAAATTGTAACATCTATAAATTTATAAAACAAGGTAAAACAAGGTAAAACAAGGCAAGAATATTTGAAAGTAAAAATTTAAAAACTGTTTGCAATTAATACTTAATATTAGTCAATTTGTTTTTATTATATAATGCATTTACTTGCATATACATATATATATATTAACTATTAACGTTTTCCACTGGGAAAACTAGTGCAACACTCTAGTGCATACTCTGCCAATGAGTGCAAATTAATTTACACATTTTTTAAGTGTCAATAAAATAATTTAATTCTTTTAAGGTTATGAGGTTATCGCGTTACACATAATAGAAATTATATAATTAAAATGAAATTATTATCATTAAAAATATATAAGTTAAATTTCACTCAGTGTGCACCAAGGTATGCACACCAGTGTTAAACTAGATTTCCTAGTGGAAAGGAATATACGTACGTTAAATGTAAAAATTATTTGCATCCAATTTCTTGTATCACCTTAAGTTAATGGGTAAGAATAATACAAAGGTTGTATCCTTTTATTGTTAATCTACATCAATATATATGAATGTATGGTTGTTCGAAAATCAATATAAATTCCAAAAGATTTTACCAATTATTATTTCTGAGAATTGAAAACTTCTTTAAATACTCGATATATAAAATACACATACGTATTATGCAAAGTTTACTATTTCAAAAATTTCCTCTCCTTCTTTTGAAGAAAAAATATCCTGTAAATAAGTCCAAGCAGACGGAGACCATTAAAGCTCTCGCGGTATAAATTGAGCGAAGGGATTCTATTGTAAGTGCTGGCTGCGGAATGCATAGCACTAAGATTTAAAATCTCGCGTACTTTCGAAACAGAGTAGCACTTTTTCTCTTTATTCCTCTATCCAACGAATACCTTGCGAATGCGATGTTCGCCGCAAAAAAAAAAAAAAAAAAAAAAACTCACGGAAATTGTGCTCATTTTATATTAACAATGCACGGCGCGATGACGTCGAGAAAGCTGTATACATACATACGTGCAATGTTTCGACATGGACAAAATGCACCTGTCTGCAATTTAAAGGTTACACCCTCGATTCTCACTTAGTGCGGTCGAACATCAAACGAACCGCGCGCGGCGCCTCTACTCAGTCAATCTGACACATAGCCGGTCTCGTTCAACGTGTAACGCGTTCCTTGTCCAAAACGATTCCACAGAAAAATCTAGCGTTTTCACTTACCGACAAATAGACAGAGGAAGTCTATGATAAACTTTCGTAGAATTAACTTGGATGATCGATCCATGTCGTGTGCTTGCTTCAACGAGCGTTGATTGCGAAATGCGATGAGATGCTGCAACGTTCAGACAGTTCAGGTGATCTGCAGTGATGGTGACGTACAATGACGTCTGACTAGTCTATAACATTGTGGAGAACGTCAAATGCGCGTGCGTTGGTGAACGTCAAGTGAATGAGGTGAACGCGTCGAAGAGACGGATTCGAACGTTGCGTGACGTTGACGTTTCATAAACGTATAGGCGTGAACAGCACACGACAGATACCACACGACTTCTCGGAGCAGACTGACGCGGCGCGGCGCCGCGCGGCGCCGCGCGACGCCGCGCGCCACGAGTAGTGGAGCAATCGCGAGAGAGCAGTTGTGAGCGGAACGACGGGACGCCAAGACGTCGCGTCGCCACAGTCCACCGTGCAGTGCAACTCGTGCTGTCGTCTTCAACGCTATCCCACTTTGTCTCTCCCCTCTCGCCCAATCTCGCGCGAATTTATCACCGAGTCGTAATTGTCGCAAATCAAATAATCAATTCGATCGAGATCCCACCAATAATGGCTAATTTCACACAGTTTGTTCGACAAAAAGCACAATGAATAACATATAAGAAAGACATAAAAATGTCTACGTTGTCTTCGATATACGTATATATATTCCTAATTTTTTATTCCTCTAAATATTTTCTTATTATTTATCTGTTCATTCATTTTGTTTTAAAATAAATGCATTTTTTAACACAAACCGAACTAATTTGTACACCTAATACATATAATAAAATACAATGATATTTAAAATATTATAAAATTTGTATTTCTCTGTAAATACTTTAAGTCATTTTTTTGAAAAAAAAATTCCATTCTATCTCATTTTTATTATTTTTATTTTAAATTAATTAAAATTGCATAATTCAACAAACATGTACTCGCGGAGAATAATCGCTCGTGATAAAAAATGCGAAATAATTTTCGATATTCTCTCATTGTTACTTTCCAATCATCACATTATTAATCTGATTCTAGTTGTCTAATGAAAGAGAGCATTTCTTTCTAATGTTCCTTACTGCGCGAACAATGATAGCTCTGTGAATAGCGGAGTGTGTTGTTTTTTTTTAAACAAGCACAGATAAGATAAAAATGTAAAAGTGAAAGTAAATGTTTTCGGTGCAAATAGGAACGCCCTATATATATTGTCCATATATAAGCTATATTAACCTCCACCTGCATCCTCACGAATATTTACGAAGAAAATGCATTGGAGGTCTTTGGTAATTATTTTCTGCAATTTGTTCACCGCGCAATAATAATACGTAAGTTTAACGCAAAACCTCAAATGTACACGTGCACCTATATCCGCGGCTCATGAAAATTAATATCAAATTCGATTAGATTCACTCAGTGCGCATCAAATTCTAGGTGTGTTCAATATAAATACAGAAACGCGCGCGGATTAAATCGTGAAATCCTATACAATAAATTTTATTGTGCTATAAATAAAATACATACATGTTTTTTAATTTGAAATATTGCATTTCACTTTTACATTTAGATTAAATCAGTGTACAATGGCTTTATAATATGCACCAGAGCGCATTAGTGTGCGTCCAACCGAATTGTAAGACATTCTTCAATTCTGTCTAATAAGAGCGTGGCAGGTCTACTTATCTCAAAGAAAAATGGCTTATATTAGCCTTAAATTTATATTGATTGTATTTAGTAGGATTATGGCCAAAATGTAATTATATTAATAGGATAAGGAGTCTAGTCACCAGCTGCGTCTATAATAAAATACTAAAACAATCGTATATTCACGTGGCAAAGATCTCCAGATTCGTCGAATTTCGTTTTTTAAACGCTTCGAAGTTGATGTCAACTACACATTTTCAATGGGATTCGCATCGGGTGATTGTGAAGGCTAGTGGAGTGTCTTGATGTCATTTTCCTCTTTCCAGGACGTGCAGAGCCGGCTTCGGTGTTTGGAGTCATTATCCTCCTGGAGTAACCAATCTTTATCTTTACTGATAAACCAGCGTTGAGCAGACGGAATCAAAGCTTTTTAGTATATATTTTTAACATTTTCTCAGTATTCAGGTTGTCAGTAAAGAGATAAAGCCTGCTTCGAAACGAAACGCGTAGGCAGCACTCATTTTGAAAATCGTTTATTCACGGAGAGAAGGATTTCTTAAAATTTACCCTGAAAATATAGTAATTATGGTACAATACAATAAATTTAAAGATTTTTACCATGCACTTCAGTAAAATTTATCATACTTATTTTATATTTTATTGTAGTTTTATTAATGAATGTGAAAGATTTACATCAAAATTCTTCAAAATATAATATTGTCCCACGATTACCATATTTTCAGGGTAAATTTTAAGATGTAATTCTTTCCGTGTTCTAACACAATTCAACGGGTACTTTGCTTATAATGCATGCAGCACAAAGGTGACACACCTGTTGGCGAAAATAAAAATTCAGAATATATCTTTACTTGACTGTGGGTAAGTCTTGCTACGCTCTTAGCTTCTTACTATACAGACTGTAGTGAAAAGTATCGGAGATGCCAATCTATTATAGACGCAGCTTATAGTGACTGGACTCCTTATTAATATAATTGCATTTTGGCAATATCCTACTTTTGGCATAATCAATATAAATTTATGGTTATTTAATAAGCCATTTTTCTTTGAGATAGGCCTGCCACGCTCTTACTAGACAGACTATGTATTTGATTTGTAACATTCGTGAAAGTTTGTCACTCCCCGCTACATATCAGACTGTAACGGTAGAAAAAATCGAGAAATCGCATAAATTTCCTTTAAATCTTATGGCTATCTTATCTAGAGATACAGCCTGGTCTGATACAACATGCTTGAGAAAGTGACGTAATTATATAACGTAATATACAAAAGGACGAGCGTAAAAGATAGATACAATTATAATGCGATGCAAACGAGTTATTATAGTTTAAGATAAATTATTGTTTTTGTACAAATTAAATAAAAATAATGAATTATAGTTCTCGAAGCATATCTGTCGTTATGCGATACGTATCTAGAACGTTTATAGAATAGCGTAAAATAAAATCACGTTCGAACGATAACGATGAATTCCACATGTCGTGGTAAAATATCAATAAGATCGTCCCGGTTGTTGATTTTACACTGAGAACGCGATGGAACTAAACAAAAGCTCTCTTATCGCGCAATTTCAACCTGTAGTGCTACTCGCGGTGCATTCTGCACGCACGGATGCACGGCTCACCAAGGCATTCAATAAACCGCCACGTCAACTTGATACATACGCGTCGATAAGTTATTGTACCTACAGTCTTGCGTTAACGCATTACGTGCGATTATTATGCGAACAACAACGAGAATTAAGATGAAATAATAATATTTCTAAAAATAATCACATCAACGATTTCAAACGAGTCACATTTAATATATATTATTATATATATATATATATATATATATATTTACAAATGTTTTCCCTCGATTTTCGTTATGATCCATTATGTCTGTAATGACCTGGAGTATGGTAGAAGATATATCGAGGCATCTGAGACGCGACGATATGATATAGTATGATATAGAAGATACAAAGTAAGAAAAAAGAAAAAAAAACAAAACTAAGAATTTATCTCATTTACACAAGATCAGTGTAACGTGATAATATTGTATTTTACTACGAGGCAATTACATAATTACACAAATGCACAATAGCATACAATGCCAAAATCGTTGATATTTGGTATTTGACATTCCTTGTATTATTCTATAAGCGTCTGCGAATCCTTAGCGCAATTATTATTGCTAGCTAACGATATAATAACGGCATGATCGCCAAGTTATATTCAATATATATACACAGAGTAGAGCAGCTATCGTGGAATTATGTATTTACGAGAATAATCGATATAATTTTTTGTGAATTTTGCCAAGTTCATATTTGGATACATATGCACGTTTATTGCATAAAGCAACTTGTTGCGATCGAATTATGTGAAAAAGTTTTCTCGATTTTTCTTTATACTACACATCTCATAATTTAACTACAGTGATAACACAACAGCTTATAACGTTAATGATTGAATTTACCAGTATTACACTGTATGTTTCTTATATTCAAGATGTTGAATGAAAATTCATACGCCTTTCGTAGCATATCCATTTGTGGATAAACTATCTTCGAACTGTTATGAATCTTTTTCAAAACTAGTCTACTGTCACTAGGCGATAAAAAAATTGTGATCTTTTTAAATCCGTGTCTTTTCAAGTTATTTGCATAGATGTCGTGAAATATAACTAAAATTTAAGGAAAGAAAATATATCATATACGCGGATATACACGAGAGACTGAAATGAACAATTTGAATTTTTGTGTAATTTAGAATAATAAATTAATGTAAATTTTTATTTGTAACATTGGCTGTAATGCAATTTGTTAGTAATCTCTAATATATGATGCCAAAATTTCAATTTTAGTCTACTCTAATCTTCACATCCAATCTTTTCTTCTTACGAATGTTTAAACTTAAAAATTTATTTTTAAAGCCGTTACACACACAAATTTTTATAGCAAAACTTTCAAATCAATTTTTCTCAGTTTTCTTCATATGTATAAGAAGAGAAATACTATTAACTAAAGTTCTTCAGCTAAGATATGTTCTTTTCATACTAGTACTTCCGCAGCAACATAAATCTAATATAAAATGTTAGATTTCGACTAAAACACGATTTATTCTATCTATGCTCTCTTTTTCGATCTCTTATTGTTCATTTCATCATTCAAGTGTAATGTTGAGAATTGAAATGAGTAAAAATGACGAAAAATAAAAATTATTTGTGTTATTGACAAAAACAGCATTGATTGAGTGACTACTCTAACAGGCACAATGGTACGTACTAAAAATAGATAGTGTCTATCAAAATAAACACACGATGGACAATATTAACACCCAAATTCGTTAGCAGTGAAATATAGAATAAACAATTTGTCTCGATAAAAAGAAAAGTGGAGGGGCAGAGAGAGGAGCGGGAAGCAAGAGTGGCAGGGAGAGAGGAGAGAGAGAGAGAGAGAGAGAGAGAGAGAGAGAGAGAGAGAGAAGAAGGAACGCATGATTTTTACAATCTACAATGAGCGATTAAGTACATCTGGCACTACGTATTGCATCTACATATCTATACCAATCTGTAATTGATAGAATTCTTATAATACCACACGCAAATCCATCAATCCCCGTTGCTTTATCGCAAGTGTTAATAACAAAACTAT